GGTCCGGATGGAACAAAGAAAGGTCGGCAATGGGTCGATCGTACGCAGCCTGCACTTCTTTTGGGTCCATGCGATGACCTACCTGGTGGTTATTGGGTGGAAGCTCAAGGGACTGCAAAAGATCCGGATGAACTGGTGTTATTTCCCTGCACTACGATTTTTTCCAATATAAAGGAACCGCCTGAATTGGAGCTGGAAGGGGTGGTAGAAGAACAGGAGCCTTCTCCTCCAGAGCATCGTCTCAAGGGGAAAAAACCGGCGCTTCGGTTCGCTGATGAGGAAGGTCCTCCTTTACCTCCGCCTCGCGATCCTCCAGTTCGTCATCGGTTAAATGAAAAAAGCCCGGCCTCTTCACTGCGTGGTCATGTGGGCTCCTTGCGCTTGCTTCGCAAGCGGGGGGAGAGTCCGCCCTTAGAAATTTTCGAGGATGACATGCAGGGTCTGGGGGAGCTGGAAGAAAATGCAGATGTCGAGGACAATGTTCCTGGTGATGAGTATTGGCCGACTTGCTGTTCTCCTCATGAAAATGCTTATTTGGTCTGCAAAAGTGGGACTGCTGAGGATGGAACACAGTTGGAAAAAGAAGAGCAAAAAGCCAAGTCAATGTATGAAAGGTCTATGTATGATTACGTGGACTGTGAGGAGCTTTTGGAAGGGATTGTATACCCAAAGAGGGTGAATCGAAGAGGTGGTATCAACAATTGGTGTACAAGTACGCGAGCTCTGGTGTTGGGCCACTATACTCATGGCGGAGTGTGTGGTATCACAAAAGAGACTCATCGAAGACCATGGCTATGTCGTTATTTGGCATCATTCGTGAGGCACCACAATCCTGAAGCCAAATTTTCTGCTCTTCAGATCTCGTGCAATGCTCCGGTGTCATTGCATAGGGATAGTCACAATGAAAAACATTGCTGCAATTATGTGTGTGGCTTTGGTGACTATAAAGATGGTCAGCTGTGGGTTGAGGATGAAAAGGTTTTAGAGGAAGGAGCTGAAGTGGTGGAGCAATCTTATGGGAAGAAAGTCCTACCTGGAAAATTGGTGGATATCCACTGGAACTTCATGTCGTTCTTTCCGAGAAAGCTGCATGGCCCTATGCCTTGGAAAGGAAACAGGGTATCCTTGACAGGGCCTGTTTTTATGGAGCGTTTGAGCTACAAGGATAGGTGCTATCTTCTCCAATGCAAGTTTCCTCTTCCGGAACCACAGGCTGAAGAAGGTGAAAAAAGGAAGTGGTTAAAAATGACGTTGAAAGAGACCTCGCTGGACGACCTTGCAGAAGAAGTCGACTACGCTGTGTTCGAAGCGCATCAATGGGCTCTAGAAGAGCATTTGAGTATTCGACGCCTAATTGCTGAACAGGAATGTTGCATTTTGGACGAGTTCCATGGATCGGCCAATGAGTCGAGTGAAGAAAAAGGATCAGAGACTAGAGAATGGCTGGTTAAAGCAAAAAGGGCTGAGGAACAGCTATCGAAATTTTTGGTCAAAGCAGCTCAAGTTCAGCAAATGGTGCAAGAAAATACCGCGCTTGAGGCAGCGGAGGAGGTTGAGTTCCTGCAAACAAAAACAATTCCTACACAAGAAGCCATGCAAGAGCTGGAAAAGTGGAGGGAATCATTGTCGGACGAGGTGACGTCTTTGGTGAAAGAGTTGGAGGTGGTGGAACCAACAACTCAAGAAAAGCTGGACAAATTGGCGGAAGAGCCTAATGCACCGGTGATTGAGTACGTTCCCAGTCTGGTGGTGTTTACCCGGAAGCAAGGGACAGGGAGGCGACGTGCCCGTATCTGTGCATGTGGAAACTTCATTTCGTCAACGGCAGCTACAGAATATGAAGGGCCGAGGTCACTCAGTCGTCACTCGCTGTACGCTCCAGGTTTAGATTCAACTACATTCAGGTGTCAAGTGAGGCACGCAGCATATATGGTGTGGATCATCGCTGGCTTAGACATTTCCAAAGCTTTTCTGACGGCGCCGATGAATAGGGCGCAAAGAGAAGGGCGTTTGGTGGTGGTGCAGCCCCCAAGGGCGGCGGTGAAATTGGGTCTTTGCACAAAAGAGGAGCGGTGGATTGTGAGGAAGGCCTTGTATGGTTTGGCCGAAAGTCCTGCAGCATGGGTGGAGTGGCGAGACCAACGTCTTCAAGGGATGTCTTGCGTGTCAAAGGATGGACAAGCAATGAGCTTTCAGAGGTCCAATGCAGACCCAAGCCTGTTCCTTATTATCGCACAAGAGAAGTTGGAAGGTGCAAGCAAGTTGGTAGGGACAATGGGTCTTTACGTGGATGATTTTTTGATGGCTGGGACTATGACAGTGCTCCGGGAGGCCTTGGAACAGATTAGGAAGGAGTGGAAAACTTCTGAACCCGAGTTCTGTGGTCCAGGCTGTGGTGATGGATTCCTGAAGTTTTTGGGTGTCCAAATCTGGTATCGAAATGGCAGCTTCTTTCTCAACCAGGAGGACTTTGTGAGAGATTTGCTGAACCGACGAGGGTATCAGATCGATGAAACTGGAAAAGGAAGTAACCTGCCAATGGCGAAAGAAACTCCAGGTGAAGAAGAGGAGGTGGATATTCCTTCCTTGCGAGCGGCACAAGGTGCCGTAGGGGAGTTCCTCTGGGTGGCAATCAAAACTCGACCTGATTTAGCGTTCTGCGCGAGCCAGTTGTCTTTGTGGACATCCCGAAGGCCGCGATTTGTGGTTAAAAAGGCTGAGGAAGTTTTCCGATACCTTGCTGCAACTCCAACGTTAGGCTTGACGTTCGGAGCAATCGCAACATGCGAAAAAGAAAGAAATGAGGTGTTGCGCTATGGACGAGGCGTTAAGGTGGTGGAGTCCTACGCGGATGCCAGCTTTGCAGCAGGTGAAAACGAAAAGAGCCACTCAGGAGCGGTGGTGGTGTGGGGTGACTGTCCAGTGATGTGGGCAACACAAAGACAATCAACGGTGGCTTTGAGTACGGCTGAAGCTGAATTACATGCGTCCATAGAGGGAGCAACGATGATTCAGTCGTGCACCCCTATAATTGCCGCTTTGGTTGGAACAGGTGAAGAATCGCTGCAAAAAGTGCTGTATACAGATTCGGTTTCAACGTGCTCGATCATTCAATATCCTGCTGGAAGCTGGAGGACAAGACACCTGAGAATTCGAGCAGCCGGTGTCAGGTCTCTGGTGGACCGTGGTTATATGGTGATAGCGCACCTTCGCGGTGAGTATATGATCGCTGACCTGTTGACTAAGTTGATGAGTGGACAGGTGTACGCAAAGCAAAAGGCACTTTGGGGTCTCCGACTGTTGGTACAAGGGACTGACTTGAAAAAAGCCTCGCTTGCAATGGCGGTCATGATGGTGGCTGCATCTCTGCAAGGGATGGCAACTGGTGGCGAAGAAGTGTCAACTGCTGGATTCTTTTGCTCAGAAGAAGGGGTGTGCAAGGTCGCCAACACGTCTACGGTGATGGTTCTGGCTCAAGGTATTGAAATGGTTGTCAACAATTCAGACCTTGTTGCATATTTGGTGGCAGCAATTATACTCTGGGAACTGGCATGGTGCCTCTTTCGACGGCTGTATAAATGGCTGTGGATAAAGAAAGCGGTGGTTATTCCTGCGAGTGCCACTTTGTATACAACAGTGGGTGGGAACTGTATGCACGCAAGCAGTGATTGTGATGTTCTGCGATATTCACAGCTCAGAGCTAAGACGCTTTGTAAGCATTGCCTCAAGGATGGCTGGGTGGTGAATGCTGAGTTCCTCGGTGAGGAACGAGCCGCTGGAACGTGAATTTTCCAAGTGCGAGGTGAAGAAATCCTCAATGGTAAAGGATTCAGCCAATGAGCTGAAGGTTCGTCCTGGAAGACGTTAAACCACAATGTGCATTTCAAGCAGCTGGCTGCTGCCTAAATGGCGGTTTTTGGCCAAAGATCTGCACCTCCAATGTGTCCTAGGAAATCCTAGGACAGGGGGAGTGCGGAGCTGCAATTGGCATTGTAGAAAGGAGTTGGTATTGGAAGTTGAAGGGTCAATGAACCCGGTAATCTTTGGCTCAAGCCATGACCAAAGCGGTCAAAGGTTTCGTAAAAAGTGTGCCCTTGGTTTGGGGTCTTGTTGTTCGGTTGTTGGTTGTTCCAGGGGTATTAAGGGCTTCTGTTGGGGTTGACTGTTTTGTTCCCTGTCCTCCTTCGGTTGCCCCCCGTATAGGGTTTGAGGCTTCGGGCTTAGTTCGGACTTGTGGTTCGCGGGTTCGGCTGAGAGCCCCTCAACGAGTCTGGAGGTTCATGGTACTTAGTAACCAATTAAGAACTGTACTTATAACCCACTCAAAAGCCCCCTTAAGTGCCCTAATCAGGTTCTAAGCCCCGTAAGTGCCCTATTATGATTAGAAGTACATTTATAAGTACAGTTCTAATTGGCTAATAAGTACCATGAACCTCCAAGTAGGGCGTGCAGAGCCTCCAAGGGAAGCCATGCACAACCCGGAGCTCAAAGCAAGACCTGAGCCCTTGGGCCCTGAACACAATCCTAAACCGACAATAGCTTCAGTAGCTTGCCTAAACCCTAAACCCTAAACCCTAAACCCTTAGCCTCTAAACCCTAAAGCTCATGCCACAAAACTACCCGACTCGGCCTTAGCAAAGGAGACAGCAGGCCAAAACTCCCAGAGGAATTCAGGCTTCAGGGCTTAGAGTTCGGAGTTCAGGGTTTGGGGTTCAGAGTTCAAGGCTTAGGGTTCTAACCTGAAGCCCTTGAAGCCCCGGACCCCAAAACCCTAAACCCTAACGCACCCCTAAGCCCTAAGCCCTAAGCCCTAAGCCCTAAGCCCTAAGCCCTAAGCCCTAAGCCCTAAGCCCTAAGCCCTAAGCCCTAAGCCCTAAGCCCTAAGCCCTAAGCCCTACGCCCTACGCCCTGTGCCCTAAACCCTAAACCCTAGATTATAAACCCTAAACCCTAAACCCTAAACCCTAACTCACCCAAGCCCTAAGACCTGGCGCCCCGACTCTCCGTCCAGTTCTTCATGCGCTCGGCCACGTCCACAATCTTGCTGAGCTCCTGGCAGGGTTTAGGGTTTAGGGTTTAAAATTTTAGGGTTTAGGGTTTAGGGTTTAGGGCGGGGGAGCACAAGGAAGTGTGCGCTTTTGGGGGCTGAAAAATTGTCCATCCTAGCCCCCCCCCCCCCCCCCCCCGGGCCGACCCCCAACCCTGGCAACTCTAAGCCGTTGCAGCAGCACCTGACTACTCCTCCCCACCTACCACCTTCAACCCGAAACACCAATCTCGAAACCCTAAACCCTAATCCCTAAACCCTAAACCGTAAACCCTAAACAAAGGAGCGATGAAGCCCACAGCTGATGAGACCCCAAACATCTATACGGGTGGCTCTCTAAATGAGAGTCCCTTTTTTTGGGGTCCTACATGCATGGGTTTAGGGTCTTGGGTTTAGGGTTTTGGGTTTGCGGCACCCCTGACAGGACCCCCAAAGCGAGCCGAACTTAGAGAACTAGCGCTAAACCCTGAACCCTGAACCCTGAACCCTGAACCCTAAACCCTAAACCCTAAACCCTAAACCCTAAACCCTAAACCATGGACCTGGAAGCTCTGCTCGAGGACAGGCCACTTGTCGAGGATGATCTTCTCTGGGCAGAACCTGGCACTATGGCAACCCTTTTTAAAGGGTTTAGGGTTTAGGGTTTAGGGTTTAGGGTTTAGGGTTTAGGGTTTAGGGTTTAGGGTTTAGGGTTTAGGGTTTCGGGCGTGGGGCTATGCCGGCTAAAGGGCTCGTGATGTCGAACGGAGGGAAGGTCCAACATTATGCGCGTCGAGCGCAAGCGGCCCCCCCTAATCACCTGAACCCTAAACCCTAAACCCTAAACCCTAAACCCTAAACCTTAAACCCTAAACCCTAACTTGGTAGCCCACTTACCATCTTCACTTGAGGGCAACCGCTTCTTGGGCTGGATTGCTTTGTAAGGGAACCCTCAAGCAAAAAATGGTTAAAAGGGTACCACTGGGCTGCCAAGCTAATATGAGAACTTCACGTGGGTTCCGAAAGGAACAACAAACCACCTAAACACCTCATTGCTTGGAATGCAATGTGAAAGCTGGGTTGTAAGGCCTGTATAGTGTAGTTTACAGGGCGAGTCCGTGAGTGACACGGAAAGCACGTTTCATAAGCGAGCCGCTTAACCCTAAACCCTAAACCCTAAACCCTAAACCCCGCTCCCGGAAATCGTCAACCTGTGAACCCCCTCCTAACGTGCATGATCTCTAAACTCCTAGCCACTGAGCCACGAAACCATAGATCCGAAGCCCTAACCCCTAAAGCCCGAAAGCCCTTGATGGATCAAGACCCCTACTTGAACCCCAAACCCAAGACCCCAGATACCCCTAACCCCTAAACCCTAAACCCTAAACCCTAAACCCTAAACCCTAAACCCTAAACCCTAAACCCTAAACCCTAAACCCTAAACCCTAAACCCTACACCACCCCCTTGTTGCAAATTCAAGTCCCTGAAGCGCCCCCCTGCAAGGCCAGCCGGCTCCACTGCCCAGTTCGCCGCTGCTCGTGGCCGCGGTTGCGGTTCCGGAAGAGAGAGATCTTGGGCGCAGGGTTCAGGGTTTAGGGTTTAGGGTCTAGGGTCTAGGGCTTAGGGTTTAGGGTTTAGGGTTTAGGGTTTAGGGTTTAGGGTTTAGGGTTTAGGGTTTAGGGTTCAGGGTTTAGGGTTCAGGGTTTAGGGGGTTTGGGTGCCCTTTGTCCGAATTGGAACCTCAAACGAGATCACAACCCCATGAAGTGACCATATTACAACCATGAAAAATCAGTGCAGTTGGGGATTTCCGAAATTCGGGTAACCTTATTGAGGTCCTTATTACAAGGGGAATCCTCCTATTTGGGGGTCTATACTAGGGGTCCCCTATTTCGAAAACCCCCATAGCAAAAACTGCTGCATAGAACGCGAAGAGTGCAGCCCAGAATAGGCTGTCTGAATGCCCTGAAGCTGGAACACCCCTGCTGCAAAGAAGGCATGTCTGACCAACCCCCAAAAACCCTAAACCCCTGGAACCCCCAAACTGGAAGAAGGTTCCGGTCATGGGGGGCCTAGGGTGCAGAGTTGGGTTTTGTGTTTAGGGAAGTAGGATTTAGGGTTTAGGGTTTAGGATTTCGGGTCTAGGGTTTATTGTTAGGGTTTAAGATTTGCGGTTTGGGGTTTAGGGATTTGTTGCAACCCTGAACTACCCTAAGCCCTAAAGCCTAAACCCTAAACCCTACACCCCAAAAAGGTCCAGATTTCAACCCAAGCGCCTCGAAGGGAACGTCCACCCACAGAAGCTCCGTGAAGAAGCCTCATAGGGAACATTAACCTGTGGGTTTAGGGTTTAGGGTTTAGGGTTTAGGGTTTAGGATTTAGGGTTTAGGGTTTAGGGTTTAGGGATTTTGGGGATTCCTGAAGCCTGAACCCGCACCCGTTGCCCAGTGCGCCCCGGCTATATGGCCTAGGAAGGGATTTTCGGCTTTTGGGATTTTCGGTTTAGGGTCCCTCCCCAAAACCCAAGGATCCAAAACGAGAAGAAATACACACAGAGACCCACCCAACGAAAAGCAAGGGTTCGTCATTGCACTTTAAAAACAATGCATACCAAAACCCTGAAAACCCTAACACCCCGAAACCCTAAAGCCTACACCCTAACGCTAAAACCCTAAAACCCTAAACCCTAAACCGATGAACCCACACCCTAAGCCCCCCTAAACCCCTGAACCCCAGATCTCAAGACCAGGATAAATTTGTAATTGTATGTGGTATCAAGATCGAATTTTTAAAGTTCTTTGTCAAAACGGCTGCCATGCCGAATTTAAGCAAATTAGTCCGAAGCGGGTACAGGAGACCCGTGAGGCTCCAAAGCGCCCTCCAAACACAAAAAAGCATACATATCCAAAACTCGCCCAAGATGTGCGCCCAAAACCCGCCCAATTCCCGCACAAAACTCCGGACACAAATCCTATACAAGAATACTATGCAGCCTAAACCCTAAGCCCTAAACCCTAAACCTCTAAAACCCCCCAAATCCCGAAACCCCGAAGCCCTAAACCCTAAACCCTAAACCCTACACCCGAAACCCTAAACCCTAAACCCTAAACCGCAACCCTGAAGCCCTCCGCCTCGACGCTTGGCAAGCTCGATCCTGCGGCGAAGCCAGGAGGCGTTCGAGCCGGAGGAATCGAAGACGATGTCCCGAAACCTGCTGCTTGATGTTTTGGCGTTAAAGGGCTTAGGGTTTAGGGTTTAGGGACGTTTATTTGCTTTATTCTCCAAACAGCCTACTTTTGGATTCTCAATTCATTTAAGGATTGCCGCTATTCTGAGACCTGTTGCCGGGTTCCTGGGCTCCTTGTCTCCCTTTGTCTCCCTTTCTCTCCCTTTGTCTCCCTTTGTCTCCCTTCATGTGGGTGGCTTTGCCGGGTTGCTGTGCTCCTCGCCTCCCGTTGTCCCCCATCGTCTCCCTTCATCTCCCGTCGTCTCCACTGTTTCTTCGACGTGCCTTTGACTGTTTGGGGTCTTCGGTGGTGTAATTTGTATTATTGCTTTGTGTGTTTGTGTTTTTTGGGAGGGGTGGTTCAGAAGGGCGTGGAACCCTAAATCCTAAAGCCTAAGCCCTAAACCTAAACCGGGAGTTTAGGCCTTAGGAGATGGAGTTTTGAGGGTCTTTAAGAGCTTAGGGGTGTTAGGGCTTAAGTCCTTGAGGGTTATTCGGTTTTGCTTAAGACCGATGTAGAGGTCTTGGAGTTTTGGGGTTTAGGGTTTAGGGTTTAGGGTTTAGGGTTTAGGGCTTAGCGATGTTAAGGCCTTTGGGCTTTGGGTCTATGTCACTCAGGGGCTTGGAGTGAAGGAATGAGGGTTTACGACTCCAAACCCAAACCCCAAACCCTGACACCCGAAACCCTAAACCCTAAACCTAGACCCCATACCAAATTAAGACACGAAACCCCAAAACCCTAGGATGGATTTTGTGGTGGAACCCCAATCCCAAAAAAAACACTGCACCCTAACGCCTAAGCCCCCAGACACATCCAGAAACTAAAACGCCTGAAGCCTCTCAGTCTTGTACACCCAAATTAAACCCTAAACCCTAAACCCTAAACCCCAAACCCCAAACCCTAAACCCTAAACCCTGAACCCCAAACCGTCCGGAAAGCAACCCACAGAGCCCTCAAAACTCGCGATGGCCTGCCGTCCCTCACCGCATCCTCGAAGTCGTCCACAGAGCGTCTGGAGAGGAGACTGGGTTTGGGGTTTAGGGTCTATAGGGTTTGGGGTTTGGGGTTTGGGGTTCAGGGTTTGGGGTTTGGGGTTTGGGGTTTAGGGGTTTGGGTTTAGGGTTTTGGGTTTAGGGCATAGGGATTTGGGCTTAGGGTTTGGGGTTTTAGGGTTTGGGTTTTGGGTTTTGGGTTTGGGGTTTAGGGTTTTAGGGTTTGGGTTTTGGGTTTGGGGTTTACAGCAAGGTTTGGGGTTTAGGGTTTAGGGTTTCGGGTTTGGGGTTTTGGGTTCGGGGTTTAGGGGATTCGGGTTCAGGTTAACGTTTGCAGGGTTAGGGCTGCAGGAGCTCTATGTGAACCACCCCAACTGACACAGCCGCTGAACGTCAAACCTGAACCCTAATCCCTGCATCAGAACTGCAGCCCTGAATCTTGGACTGGAATGCGTCGAACTGAAAATCTAGAACAGCATGAAGTGGCACGCCCAGTTCGCGAACTTAAACAAAGTCAGGTTGAATGAATGGCCATCACCTCAGGGGGGGAGGGGCTGAAATCCGAACTGTGCGATGCGGACCGCACAAAGAGAGGTCAATTACCCTTGGCAGCCTTGGCATAGAGCTCGAGCTCTGATTGCACAAGGCTGTCTGCCTGAGCTTGACGCCTCCAAGCCGAGGGAATCCACCATGCGCTGCATCTGTGTCTCCCAACCCTACGCCCTAAACCCAAGACCCCAAACCCCAAGCCCTAAACCCTAAACCCTAAGCCCTAAACCCTAAACCCTAAACCCACATAAGGAGGTGCCTGTAGGTTTTCATCCAAAGCTGCCCTTCTGCGGGCCCCCACTCCTTCGTCTTGGAGTTAAGCCCTAAACCCTAAACCCAAACCCAAAAAACCTAAACTCTGGCCCTAAACCCAAACAAGTCTTAACACCCAAAATCCAAAAACCCTAAACCCCATAAACCCTAAACCCCAAAAACGCTAAAGCCCTAAACCTTAAACCTTAAACCCTAAACCCTAAACCCTAAACCCTCAACCCTAAACCTTAAACCCTAAACCCTAAATTCAAACCCAGCTCTGGGTCCGAGCTCCCATCCGCCAGGCCTGACGCTCCATCGATGGACTTCCTCGTCGGTCTCCTCCCCAAGCCCAAAGGGTCGAGGTTTAGGGTTTAGGGTTTAGGGTTTAGGGTTTAGGGTTTAGGGTTTAGGGTTTAGGGTTTAGGGTCCTTCAGGTACCTTCAGCAAGAAGCTAGATGTACCAACCCCAAGCTCTAAACCCTAAACGCAGATCTCGAAGTTCTGGTCCCACATAGGCTACACATCGCCGAAGGCAAGGGCTTACGGGCTACCACCCTAAACCTAAAACTTCTAAACTCCCCCCCCCCTCCCCGCACAAAAGAATTAACCCTAAACCCTAAACCCTAAACCCTAAACCCTAAACCCTAAAACAAAAAAACAAAAAAACTCCACGGGAGTTTGTGGCTTTGGTCTTGCAGGGCTTGTAGGGGGGCGAAGTGTGCCATGCGGTCCAGAAGACTGGGGCTTAGGGCCTAGAGGGTGTAGAGGGGAGGGTGCGGTTTTGGGGTCCAGGGTTTCGGGCCTGCGCTGACCCCCCTCGTTAATAGGAGGTGCAGCACCGCAATCCACCGGACGGGATGCCCTTAGAGTAGGTCTCCCGTCAGCCCTAGATGTTTGCAGAACCCTCGAAGTACTCTGAACCCTCTACAGCCGAGAGTACATGCCTAAACGCTGAAACTTGCGTCTCAACCCCCACTCCCCCGGAAGGTTGCCTCACCCATGTTCGGCGAGTATCGCGGATGTCTGCCTATGAGCGGTGGCTTCCGGGGCTTCGGGCCTAAGGGTTAAGGATTGGGGCTTTGGTTCAGGTTTAGGGTTAGAAACCCTAAACCCCCTTAAACCCTAAACTCTAAGCCCTCGGTGTTCGGGTTGAGGGTTTAGGCCTGAGGGTGGCAAATTTCCTCCTAAACCGCCCTAAACCTCCTTCTAAACCTAAACCACCAATTCAGGGACTTTAATGGAAACCCCGAACAGGAGACCCCAAGAATAGAGTAGGAATATACCTGCCAGGGTCATTTGGTTCTCTTTATATTCTGCAGAAATTCTTGGGGTTCCCTGCTTCGGGTTGCCATTGGGATCCGTTTATGTAAGGGCCCCCTTTCAAGGGCGGGGGTAGGCTGAGGCCTAAACCCTAAACCCTAAACCCTAAACCCTAAACCCTAAACCCTAAACCCTAAACCCTAAACCAAAATATGGAGAGCTTAGTGGTTCCAAGCCCTACTGTGAAAACCCTACAAAAGGGCTTGGCCCACAAGGCTTACCAGCCATCTCAACCATGAGCCATACTAGACCCTGAAAAGACCTATAATCCCTTTGACACGCGTTGAAAGCTCACAAGCCCGAAGCCCCAATATCCCCTAAATCCTATACCCTAAACCCTAAACCCTCCTATACCCTAAACCCTAAACCCTAAACCCTAAACCCTAAACCTTAAAAGCCAAGAGCCCCAGGGCCCCCGGCACTTGATTCTATCCGGCTCGATGTCCAGCGCATCTGCGCTGAGGCGCTGCCTCTTGACCTCTCGGACGCGTGCAGTTTGGGGTTTAGGGTTTAGGGTCTAGGGTTTAGGGTTTAGGGTTTAGTGTTGAGGGTTGAGGGTTCAGGGTGTAGGGTTTAGGGTTGAGGGTTTAGGGTTTAGGGTTTATAGGGTTCAGGGTTTAGGGTTTAGGGTTTACGGAGCCCAGCAATCTCTTAGGGTAAAAAAGGGTCTACAAGGGATCCCCTTTTAAGGGCCCATGCTACGCCATAAGGGGTCTACAGTGTGCACCACCAGCACTCAACAAGAAGCACATATCAAGCCCTTCAAAGCCCTAAGCCCCTAAACGCCGGAACCCCGGAACAGCCCAAAGCCCTGAATCGCCTGAAGTTTTATGGACGTCAAAGGACTACAGGGTTTCGATTCCAGGGTTGGTGCAGGGTTTGGGGTTGAGGTCTTACCCGAAACCCTAAACCCTAAACCCCAAACGCCCGAGACCTTGTCCTCAGGGAGCAGGTACCAACTTGCTCCCTGGGTCTAGGGCATAGCTGATTGCTGAATTGGGTGCTTTGAGGGGCGCAAGAATACAATTTCCAAGGAATTGCGGCACGCACGGTCCGAAATCCCTAAACCCTAATCCCGAAACCGCTACATCACCTGAAAGAGTGGGGTTCCAGCCTGCCCTTATCTCCAACCGAAAGCCACCCCATCACCCAAACCTTCAGCTTAAAGGCGTTGCGTGCAGGGTTTAGGATTTAGGATTTAGGGTTTAGGGTTTAGGGTTTAGGGTTGAGGGTTGAGGGTGGAGGGTGGAGGGTGGAGGGTGGAGGGTGGAGGGTTGAGGGTTGAGGGTTGAGGGTTGAGGGTTTATGGCTACACTGAGACCCCGACGGTGCTTTTTCCTGCGCCAGGGAGTCCCATCAGGAAAAGAGCACGGGGGCGGTTGCCGTCTTCTGCAAGGCGGGCGTCTTCCCGCAGGTTTTCGGGTTCAGGGTTCAGTGTTATGGGGTTGTTCTGGAGGTTATTCTGGCCATGGGATTGTTCTGCGGCTATTCTGGGGGTATGTTGGGGAAATGATGGTGCTATGTTGGGGCATTATGGGGGTTATTCTGGGCATATTATGGGGATATGTTGGGGATGTTGGGGTTCTTTGGGAGATATTCTGGGGTTATTATCTTGGCAGCCCAGTAAACATGCTATCATAAGGGCACTCTTGTTTGGGTTGGTTACTTTATAAGGGAACCTTCAACTAAAACAAAGGAACAGGGTACCAGCGGGGCTACCAAGAATTAGTTTTTCTAGATGTACGTGTATACTGAGGACAAGTGTGTTTTACACGTACGTGTAACACAACCAGTTCTGGGGATCTTAGGGTTTAGGGTTTAGGGTTTAGGGTTTAGGGTTTAGGGTTTAGGGTTTAGGGTTTAGGGTTTAGGGCTTTCTTTCAAGCCGTTCCGACTTGGGCGCCGCCCGGCGAGGCCTCAGGGCTTACCTTGAGCAGAAGCTCCCGCACTCCAACCCTTCCAGGGTTTAGGGTTTAGGGTTTAGGGTTTAGGGTTTAGGGTTTAGGGTTTAGGGTTTAGGGTTTAGGGTTTAGGGTTTAGGGTGAGAGCTTCCCCCAAGAAACACCCTCAACTCGAGATCCCCCATGAATGCCCTAAATCCTATAAATCCACAAAACACCCTGTAGACTTCGAAGCCCCCAAACACACAACAAGAAACCCACCAAAACCTATAAGCTTTTCGGGTTTAGGGTATAGGGGTTAGGGTTTGGGGGTTTAGGGTTTAATTTAAAGGCTTGAGGGCCCTCTCACCCCAACCCCTGAACCCTAAACCCTAAAGCCGAAACCCCCCCCCCCCCCCCCCGCACCGTGGCAGCGGGGGCTGCGAAGCCTTGGAAGTTCGCGGAGGGTTTAGGGTTCAGGGGCTTAGGGTCTAGAGGTTTAGGAACTAGGGATTAGGGTTTAGGGTTAGACTTTGGGTTGTGAAACGCTTTAGGGAGCTTTGCAGAGTCTCAGCCTTTTGGGATTCATACGGCTTCAGGGGCTTTTGGTGATTGAAGGTTTCAGAGACCTGGGCTTTGTTAGTTCTTGGGCTCCCACGGGCTGAGTTTGCTGCGTGCACGTCTCTGAGTTCCTACTGCTGACTATGCTCGCTTTACCTCTCTGTCTGCCCTAGCAATCCTTACCCTGAATGCCTAAAACCCCAAAACCCTAAAACCCTCAAACCCTCAAACCCAAAACGCCGGCTCCAAACAGGGCCTAGACCCTAAACCCGAAACCCTAAACCCTAAACCTGGGCGCATGGCAGGCTTGCCGGCAGCGGGGGGGTTCGCGGAGGCCTAGCAAAGAAGAACGGGGACTGGGTTTCAAGGGTCAGCTTGGTTCTTCCTGGGTATTTTACCTTTCTTTCTTCACAGAACCCAAAGACCTCTTGTCAACCCTTCAATTCAAGCCCTACAGGCCCTACAAGCCGTCCGAAACCTCCAAAACCTCTGGACCCTAATTCAAGAAGAAACTGGAAGAGATCCTGAACCTTGTGGAAGAGGCGAAGAGTTTCGGTCTGGCGCGCAAGGTGACCGCACCCCATGAAATCCACTTCTGCGGCCTGTCTGTTCGTAACAAAATCTAGAAGAACTCTATATCAGAGGTTACAGCCTCAGAAATCCTCATCTGGGCTGCCTTCGAAACTGCTTTTTACATAAGAAGCCAACACCCTTAAAACAAATTCTATACTCTACACTAAAGGCCACACCCTACGAAATCATCTTCTGGGGCCTCTTCATGATATGCCAATAGCCTTGTGTATGATGAGGCCACAGGACTCGTTCGTAATGAAGCCATCATGCTTGAGAGGTACCTTGTTTCCTAAGTTGAAGGGACTGCAAGGGACAGGCCTTCTACCTACCACATCCTACTACCTGCTTCGCCCCCTCCTTGAAGAAGCCACGGAGCCAAGGGATCACTGCTGCAGCAGAACCCTAAACCCTAAACCCTAAACCCTAAACCCTAAACCACCCTAAACCCTAGAACATTTTCTGTCGCTCTGGGGCTCTGCCCAAGGGCTGAGATACGAGCGGCCCTTTCTGAGTCGAGGTCAAGTAGAACTCTTCCGCGTCCCAGCAAGGGTTTAGGGTTTAGGGTTTAGGGTTTAGGGTTTAGGGTTTAGGGTTTAGGGTTTAGGGTTTAGGGCTTAGGGCTTAGGGCTTAGGGTTTAGGGTTTAGGGTTTGGGGTATCAACGGGCCGGTGAAGAACGTCCCTTCGGCCATGGCATCCCCGAGACTCTGGCTCTTCACGAAGGCCCGAGCGACCGTTGTCCGGCATGAAGCACACTGTGCCCAAGCCCTCAAAGAAGACGAGTTAAGACCCCCGACAAAGAAGGAATACTAATCTCAACTTTACGAGTTAAGACCCCCGACAAAGAAGGAATACTAATCTCAACTTTGACCTTACAAGATGTTTCTATCATTTGCTTTCTTTTTTTTGTTGGTGGGGGGGGGGGGGAAGGGGCGTTCTTAAGCAATAAGAAGATCCTTGGGACTCTCGGAAGGCTGACCATTGAAAAAAACAAAACACCAGCCTGTTCCGGAACAGCCTGGCTGTTCAGGGCTTATAGACGCTGACCCCTAAACCCTAAGGCCCTAAGGCCCTAAACCCCAAACCCCAAACCCCAAACCCCAAACCCTAAACCTTAAACCCTTTTGGGAAGTTGAGGGTCCGCTTCTGGCACCTCTCCGGCGCTCGACTTCTCTCTCGCCTTTGGGCGATAGGGGTGGGGGTTTAGGGTTTAGGGTTTAGGGCTTAGGGCTTAGGGATTAGGGGATTAGGGATTAGGGTGGGGATGAAGATCAGGGTTTTTCTGGATGAAGTTCATTGTTTTGGGCTTGGGATTGTTGCTTTGGTCCGCTGAGAAGATCGCTCACGCTCAGCGCTCTGAGGCCTGCCTAAAAGCCTAAAACCTAAACCCTAAACCCTAAACCCTAAGCCCTAAACCCTAAACCCTAAACCCCAAGCCGGAGCCCGCAACTCCGACCATAGCAGAGCCTACATAGGTGCTTCAGAGTAAGTAGGGGTCCCGTGATATACCATGAACAATAGACTCCGCCAGATAGGAACCCACACCTTTTAGGGTTTAGGGTTTAGGGTTGAGGGTTGAGGGTTGAGGGTTTAGGGTTTAGGGTTTAGGGGTTAGGGTTTTAGGCCACCCTCCAACAATATCTAACATCGGCAATAGCAGTGTCCAATGACCCCTAGGGTTTTTTAGGGTTTAGGGTTTCGGGCTTGGGGGATAGGGTTTGTAAAAGTGACAATAGAACAGAATTTCCAAAAAGGGACTCTAGATAAACCCTAAACCCTAAACCCTGAACCCTAAACCCTAAACTCTAAACCCGAAACCCTGAACCCTAAACCCTAAACCCCTAAACACCTAAACCCCTAGACCCCTAAACCCCTAGACCCCTAGACCCCTAAACCCCTAAACCCCTAAACCCCTAAACCCTTAATCTAAACCCTTAATCTAAACCCTAAACCCTAAACCCTAAACCCTGAACCCTGAACACTGAACCCTGAACCCTGAACCCTGAACCCTGAACCCTGAACCCTGAACCCTGAACCCTAAACCCTGGCCTGCCCCTCGGCAAAGGCGTCTTCCAAGGCTCAGCCTGCTTCGGAGGGAAAAATGGGCTAAGTACCCCGGGAAAAAAAGGCTTCTACTCAAGTGAAATCTGTTTAGGGTTTAGGGTTGGGGTTTAGGGTTTAGGGTTTAGGGTTTAGGGCTTAGGGCTTAGGGTTTGGGGTTTGGGGTTTAGGGCTTCGGGTCTCTGTCTGTATCTCTCTTCAGGTCTGTTTTGTTTTTTGGTTGGGCCGGCCAAGGCGGGCGAATTTGGCCTGAGACCTCGGTCAACCTCTTCAAAGAAGGAGTAGACATTAGGGCCTACCCGAAAGAAGGGGCTGTACCTGCTTTCCGACTTTCCTTCCGGCTGCCCTAAACCCTAAACCCTAAACCCTAAACCCTAAACCCTAAACCCTAAACCCTAAACCCTAAACCCTAAACCCTTGAGCTCGAGGTGGTCGGGCGCATCGAGGACGGGGGCGTTGCTGAAGGCGATGGCGCAGCAGGCAGAGTCGACTGAAGTCGCCGGTGAGCAGGTAGCATCGGAAGCCATCAGCGGAAGGATGGGGGCGAGCTCCCTCGGTTTAGGGTTTAGGGTTTAGGGTTTAGGGTTTAGGGTTTAGGGTTTAGGGTTTAGGGTTCAGGGTTTGGGGTTTAGGGCTTAGGGTTTAGGGTTTAGGGTTTAGGGTTTAGGGTTCAATTCAAGGTTTAGGGTTTAGGGTTTAAAATCAAAGGCGGCTTTTGTCCGACTCCGAACTTCTTAAGGCCAGCCTTGACCTTTGGGGGAGCGCTTGCTCTCTCTATGTTCTGCTTGAAGATTCCTGGGTAGTTCCAACTAACTTCAGTTACTCTAATTCTCCACCAGTATGTATTGATGCCGTTTACAAGTACCCAGGAACCTTCAACTATTCTTTCCACATGATGTTGGGGGATGCGGATTGGGACTGCCACTATGACAGCATCATCGTGAGCAGTCTTCTTTGGAGCTTCAAAAACAGAAGCTGCTTGCTGCACCTACCCATGCACCTGTGTATTTGCAAGCAAGGCATTTATTTGAGCTACTGTCCCATGGGGGACCCGGAATTCGAACAATAACCAACCACATAAACAAGGACCCACAGAACCGAGGCGACACGAGGTTCATGGACTACAGGTAAGGGTTCCAGCGAGGAACGATACACAGCAGCTTTGAGACGTTAAGGGCACCGGAGTAATTAGCTTCCTGCCTGCTCGCTTCACACTGCCTCGGGCGGAGCTGCAAGTGAGGCGCCGGTGTTCAAAAGGCTTTGCATCCCATCACCCTCTATAT